ATTGGAGAGGGGACCGCTGATCCGGCAGGTCAGGGTGACGTTCTGGCCCTCGGGACAGACGCAGAGCGAGTACGGGGTGGTGATCAGGAAAGCCGGCGTCCCTCCTGCCGGGAGAAGGCACGGTGGCTGGGTCAGACCCTGCAGCCCTGGGCGCACCCTGAGTTCGTAGCAAAACGGGGGTCCCTCCCCCAGGCAAGCACTGCAAACCCCACCGCCAAGGGTGGCAGAGGGATGGCTAGGGGCTGCAGAGAGCGAGCAGAGAGCGTGAACAGGCAGAGGGGAGAAAGACTTCACCCATGCCCTGAGGGCAAGAAAAACTCCTGAGCTCCCCATATCCCAAGAGAAGGGAGATGGGAAGCACGGCGTGAGCCCTTCGCTTGCTCCGTACCAACATCCCAGCAAGGCTGGAAGCACAATTTCACCCTAGAAATGATCCCTGGAGGAGAGACATGCTTTAAATATAGCTCAGCAACAGCTTTTAATAGCAGCCGGGAAGCAGAAGTTCGCCCAGGGCTGGCAGAGCTGGCGGGGATGTGGGGGTCTGCCCCGGGTGCCTGCTTACGGGGTACCAGACCTCTGCAAAATGAGGCCAGGGGTGTACGGCTCACGAATGAGGAAATACAAGTGGTGCTGAGCTGGCTGCAAAAGAAAAGAAAAAAGAAAAAGAAAATAGCTGGGAGGAGCTCATGCCCCCCGAGATCAGGCGGGGAGCGGGTCCCACCCTACTTGTTTTTCAGCCCCTGGGGAGGAGCAGGGGGAACTGGCCAACGCCGGCTGCGAGGAGCTGCCTGAGAATGAAAACAATTTTCAGACAGAAATCCCTGACCGCTGCCGGCTGCAACACGTGGGCAGCAGGCCTAGCAGAGGCGCGGGAGCGAGGGGTGTACCACAGGCGTTACTGGTCCCATCCCAGCACGCCGGTGGAGGGTACTGGTGGGTAAGGCGAGCTGCGCGTGAGGGGAGAGGAAAGAACAAAGACGGGCGAATCTTTGGTGCCCTGGCCGTGCTGCGGCTTTGTGTTTGCAGAAGTGGAAACATCCCTTTTTAAAGCTGAAGAAAAAACCAGATTCTGGGTTAATTGTCTTTTAATTATTGAGAAAAGGAGGTTCCTGGGGCTGGTTTGCAACAGAGAAGGTAGTATGAGCACAAGATGTTCTTTTATTTTGGTAACATCCTGTTGTGCCATTAGCTCCGCCACGGTTTTGCTTTGAGGTTTTTCACTTGCTATATCAAGCGGGTGTCAATCACAGGCGGGGTGTGCTGCGCCTGCCCGCAAGTCGTCCAGCCGGGCGAGAGGCTCCCCAACGCCGGGCTGCCCGGAGAGCATCCTCCTCCATGCCGGGTCACCGCATCACCGCGCCGGCACAGGGCTCCGCTTGAGAGAGCGAAACCGAAAATGTCCCTTCCACCCCTCGTGGTTATTTGTGGCGATTAGGATGAAGGTGTAAGAACAGCCGTTGAGGTCCCCGAGTGCCGGCAGACTGCCTGAGGGTGCTTTGCAGGGAGATGGGGGGGGTTGGGGAGGGAATCTGCGCCATCGGACCCCCTGGTTTGCAGCACACGGTGCCGAGGCGTCCCACGGAGCCGGGGTTGGCGTGACCTTTGCCAAACCGCTCCGGCTAATCGCTCCAGCTTCTTGCAGGCGCCTCAGCCTGCTCCCCACGGTGCACATCCCCGGGGTTGCTCTGGGGCAGAGGTTTGCATGGCCTGAGCTCCACGCTGCCTCTTTTGGGCTTCTTTTCAAGCCCAGCTTCTCCTCATCCTCGGCTGGTGCTGGGGCCAGCTTGCTTGGCCGGGCTGGCTGGGTTTTGGCACGCAGCAGAGCGGGTCCCCCACCTCCTTGCCAGCGCTCCAAGCACAAAAGCCACCTCAGATGTGTTTCTCGCTACCTGCTGCAACGGGAAGTGCCCCATTCACATCGGGGGTCCCGCGGGAGCAAGGGGAAGGGAAGCCAGGGCTCTATAGGAGGAAGCCGCACTTCCAACACCTTGCAAAAGTATCTGCAGGAGTCTTTGTTTTCCGCACACACACACCCACGCACCCCCCCCTCAAATAAAACGGGGCCGTCCCCCTCATCCCCGCACAGTTTGCAAAGCTCTGCTCTACTAAACCATCCGACCTCCGCCTCCGGGGCTTGATGGGAACCGTCTGGATGGAAAGTCAACGCAGCCCACGCTTTCGGCAGCGGGGCCCAGCCGCGGGGAGGGGCAGAGGTTACCACGTGTGCAAAGTCTTCGGCATTACCAACTTCCTTTCTTTCTCTCGAGCAGGGGAAGGCTTCCAAAAGCCATCGAGTGGGGGAGAAAACAGCTGGGGAGGAGAGCTGGCAAGGCACGGCGTGCCCCATAGCAGTGCCAGAGAGGTTGCTGTTCCCTCCTCAAGATGTAACGAGGCTTTAAAGCCACGCTAGATGCCAGATGGTGCCCGGAGGAAACATCTTCTGTCAGTGTCTTTACACTAAAGCTCTTGGATCTTAATCTTCCCTGGGTGCTGTGGGCTTCTTCCGTGCCCAGACCCCAGGTTTGGCTCCATCCCATCCCGGTCGGTCCATTCCCTTTGAAGTCGGCGCCGCTGGCAAATGTCAAAATAAAGCCAGATGCCTGGCTCTGTGCATCTCCAGCCGAGAGAGCCGGGGGGGGAGAGAGCTCGACCCATCGAGGTCCAAGCCAAGAGCTGTTGTCTTGTCACCATCTGGTAAAGACTGAGGTGGTCTCAAGTGGGTACCAAAAGCACCCCTCTTCTTCTTCAGTACCTCAGTAGCTTTGGCAGCGCTGGCACATCGCCGGTGCCGGCACCGCTGCCTGGCTTGAAACCTGAGAGCTCTCCTTTCAGAGAAAATGAAATATGAAAAAGTGCTAAAGCCAAGGAGCTGGTGTTGCTTTGCTGGCCAACAGCTTAAATTAAATAAAACAGGATTTCATCCCGAATTCTGGGTCGGTGAGCAAAAGCCTCTCCTGGCTGCTTCTCCTAACTTTGGTCCCTGCTCTGGCAAGCAGGTGTTTGATTTACACTCCTGTGACTTCCAGAAGTGATTTCAACTTCATGTCAGCTCTTTCCACCTCTGGTAAATCTGGGCAGGAGGGCTGCAGCCTTTGGAGGGGACATCTCGAGGCTCACCCAGTGCAGAGGAGGGGCTGCCAGAGGGCAAGCACCTGCTTAGTGCCAGAGCAGGGAATCCGGCTTTAAATCCTCTTCTGTGAGCTTCTTGTAACAGCCTCGTGTGAAAGTGCCGCAGGCTCCATCGTCACTGTGCTGTCATTATGCTTGGGATACCATTTTGGAAAGCCCACCTCAGCTGCCATCCCTTGAGTGGAGAGGAGCCGCTTCCCCATCCACCTGCCTGCCAGCGTCCCCAAACTGCGCAGGAGCTGGATGTCTCCAAGGGCTCTACTTCTCCATCAAGCCCTGCTAAAATTAGTCGAGGGTTCAGAAAGTTTTGGCAGGCAGAGCACAAAGCTCAGCTCCTCTGGCACCAGGCTCACGTTGAACACCAGCGGCCAAGCTTGTTGCAGAAGGGCTGCTATTCAGTCCCAGCACCCCAGACGTGTAAATGAAATAATCCAAAGCCCCACGGAGATGCTGCTAATCACTCCCTGATGTCCAGAGACTCAGATGAGAAGCAAAGCGCACTTCGATCCACACCAGGCTTGCTGTCCCAGAGGAGAGAGGAAGAAGGGACACCACCACCCCGCCACCACCCCT